TAGCAAATGTACAACGTTTCGACAAGATGATGACAAAACCTTGTCGAAACGTTGTACATTTGCTATCACGTTAAACTTATATTAAAGTTTTTCTTCATTACCCATTTAAGCCGTCTCCAGCCATTATTAGTCTCAAAGTGGGTTCCTCGTCATCGAAAATCTTGTCATGCTCAATTTATGTCACTCTTGAGCTGTCCTGTACTCTATAAAACATGTATTTCAGAACACTGCTACTGCCAGGTGAAATAAGATTGCTCAACACTCTTATCAACATTATTTTACTTTAGTTGATGATAGAAAACAACTGTAACTATTCCTAACTGCCTTAGTTTCACTTTCACACACACTTTCACCCAAAAATAATTTTGTACTCAGTTAAGTATGTCGTAGTTGAATGCTGGTTTGTACTAGGAATATACAGTGTTACATTTTCATATAGGTTGTTATTGTTAGATATACAAGACTATTTAGTGTAGGTATTATTAAAATATTTATTTTGTGAGTTAATACTTCATGATTGTTTAGTTTTTTCATAACAAGAGAGTTAAAAGCAATTATTTTGAAGGTGACAGTTACAACATGTTTGGTTATGTAACTCGGTAAGAGTTGTATGTTGTGTTGGCAATTCATTGGTGTCGAAGGTATGGAAAATTCTAGAAGCCGTGATAAACATATAAATAATGGTGACCAAACAAGTGAGAGCAGAGTAAAAGTAAAGTCAAGTGAAAGTGAGGTTCAGTCACAGAAAAGTTAGAAAACGTGAAGATAGCTGTAGTGTGAGTGAATAGTCTTAATGGTTGATATGTTAAAGTGAGATTAACAGTTTGAAAGAGATATGGAGAATAATTTGTCTCATCAAAGGGTGTTCTAAGCTAATTGAACCCGCCTGTGTGAACTTTGACAAAAAAAAAGACAATTTGAAGTTCAGGATACAACTGTGGTAGCCCACAAGGTAGCGTAAGTGAATTATTCACTGATACTACTGTGATAAAAGTAGAGAAAAATAGTTCAGCTTGTCAACTGGATTCTAAAGCAGTTGAATCAGCCTAAGTAGACTTTTGACAAGATGAAGAGAACTGTATAGTGTTTAAGATACAACTGTGATCTCCATAGTGTAAAGAATTTTTGTACATACGTTTAACTTGTTTTGACTATATTATTTTAAAACAAGTGGAGTGTGTGCTGTCCATTTATTTCGAATTTATTGCCAACAAGTCACAGGCACCTCTGTAGAAGAATCCTTAGCCCATGGCCACACATATATACTTAAAACCCTGACATAGGTGAAACTGTTACAAGGTTTGCCACAGTATAAAAAGTTTAAAAGATTTTGATAGCATTTTTTATCTGATGTTTGATCTTATCAGATCTATTTTGAAAAATCAAAAGCACTTTAAATTAATACAGTTATAACTTTTTTAAAGGCTAAGGCCATATAGTTGCCATCAGATTGTAGAAGTTTTTATAAGGCAGTAACAACTGTATTACCATCCCCCACCCCATAAAAAAAGAACTTGCACTTAGTGTTTCTAAGTACATGATTTTTTGTTTTATTAAAAAATACTTTCTTGTACCACATCTGCTTTATAAATAAGAAATATATTTAAGTTTTCCATTAACAACTTTTGATAATATTTTTTTATGAAAGAAGCTGTTAAGTTGTAAAAACAGTTAAAACTTCCTTATTAAGCTTTTGTGCTGTCCCTGTAAACTAGTGCAAAGTAATATTTCTGTAGCCACATATTTGGTAAGCTCAGGGCCAAAACTCCCAAATAAGTGACTTACGCATTCCAAGGGGACCCAAAATGTCCTTAAGTAATATAAATATAGTGAATGTGAATAAATATATATAGCAAGGAAACCAAAATTATTTTATTCTATTTTGTTCAAATATAACACAGCTTTGGCACAAAGTAAAGCAAATCCTTATACAACCTTGGCTGTATAGAATATTGTATATATAAAACTATTCCTAATATAAAGTTGCATGTGTTTCAATATTAGGATATGCTTATTGTGCTTGTCCAAAAAAAAAGTATTTCATGTTGTGCAAACTCTGTTTATTTATGGTTTGAATATCATGTTTATACCAGTTTGTGCTTGTGAACAACTGCAAAAGTACACAGTTGCAATAAGTCACATTTATCCCTCTATTGAACTCTAGTTGTTTTCACACACAAAGCTATACAATGGGCTGTATGCACTGTTTCAAATGGTAGGAATCAAAACTTGATTTTAGCATGAAAAGCTTTCAATCTTACAGCTGAGCCATTTGGGGACATCCAAAATCTCTACTGTTCTTTCTAATTTTAAAAACAACAGAAAAAAAAGAACTAATCTATTGACTAGATTCGGTGACGAGGAACCCACTTTGAGACAAATAATGGCTGAAGACGGCTTGAATG